ATCTCACATATTTTTGCGATTGAATATATCATGATAAATAATTGAATCGTCATTATGCAACGAAGTCTCTAATCGCTTGATAATGCATACATAAAATTTCTGTCATCCTTATAGAATTTCTCTCTGCCTCAATTGTCGAATAAAATTTGGAGGCGCTCCAGGTTATTTCTAGAGAATGAGCCGCACAACCGCATGTATGAAACGCCTCAGAAATAAAAAAATACTGTATAGTAACCCAGGAATTGATTAATTGAGACTAGGTCTAGTGATAAAATACTACATGTCCATCACGTTGAGCAAGAAAAACAAATAACACTATTTAGAATAATTTTAATTTATACATAATTTGACCTGTAATGGCACTCTTTGGCCATGCGTTGAACAGTTACCAGTAACAGAACTAGATGCCCATGTTTAGAGCAGAAACAGCAATGTGTGCAAAACAGCCCATGCGTTGACCAGAGATGGCATTAAAGTCAAAATTATTTGAATTCAGAGATTGGCATTGCAGCAGCTCTGCGTTCAAATGCATGGAATTGTAGCAGCATCGCAAGCACACTCCTTGAAAAGTGAGCTGCTTAATTAATGACGCAAATTCAGAATATATTTTTGTATATATCACATTGTGACATGTGAGAGAATTGGTCGCGTAACGAGTTTCTCATGTATTTTCATACACAGAAGTATGACAGCTCGATCGGTTTAGATTTTCCTAAAATTTGCCGTCGCATTTCCAGTCCGCAGAGTATAAACAAAAGCTGGACTGAGGACAGTCAGGTCGAGGCTCTCCAAATTCGACTTTGAGGTTCTTCTTAATTCTGTTTACAGTATTAATCATTGTAAAACAAAAGTATGTTGTATATAACAAATTTAATACGTTGGGAATGTTGTGAATTATGTTGAGTCAACCATTGGCCAATTAACATTTAAGGCCTAAAAATAGCTTAAATGCAAAACATGCATAAATTCTTAAGCTTTAAGGCTGAGCAGAAGCATATCTTCACAAACAACCAATTTCTCTATGAAGTTGTAAGAACTTGTTTCCCAAAAGTTTTGTGATTGCGCTTTGTAAACAGGATTGTTCACTGATTCCTTTCTAATCGCCAAGTTATCTTTCAAAAAGTTGAAGAAATCACACTAAAATAGACTCCTCTGGTTAATTTTAGCTTTGTACCCCGAAAAAATTGGAAAAGTTTCAAGTGTTCTGTACTTAATTGCACCGCATGAAAGAAATAAATTAATGATTGAATCAGAATCACATTTTTATTTGAAGAATCTTTGTATCGGAAGATTAAATCTTTACCAATTACGTCTCTGCGCCCCTCCTTTCAATAAGTTACGATGCTCTGAATAGTTTCCGACATATTATTAAAAAGAATTTAAAATGTAATTTCTGTTTAAAACAAAAATAAAATCTGAATATCACTTTAAAAAAATTAAATTTACCCTAGAAAATTCTAAACATATTGAGAAGTGGTTATCTTTAGCAAATAAGAGCCAGTTGCTGTGGTATTATTTTACTTTGAAATTCAAAAAAGTTTGTATACCGCAAAAGTATACAAACAATTTTTTCATTTCTGTCAACAACTTTCATCAACGTTAATAAATATAGTTGAAAGCAAGGATCCCGGAATCTCCCAGAAGTAATCGCCCTGTTTAAAAGATAGAGCAATTTTTAACTTATATTCATTCATCGGCTTCACTTTGACGATAGATATGCTTTTAACAGACATTAAACTGAACATCATGGGAATCGTTACTAAGCAAAACTTCAGACTTTCTTATACGAACAGTAATTTAACCCGTTTCCTTGCCACTTGCTTTCTTATTCATAATGAGGAAAATTTTTGCATTCTCATATCGGATAACAGTATCCACAGTTCTCTCTTTCTGCTGCAGATAAAAATTCTAAGGTAAATTTTCTTCGACAACTTTGCGAGCGGTTCTTAAAAGGATGGAGAGGAATGAAACTGTAAAAATAAATACCATGTTATTTCACAACATTTTTCTTTGTAATGACGAACCGCATGATTTATAGCATAACCGCGCCTAGAGAAAACTGATATTCGATGGCTGAAAGGAACTCGAAAGCAAAAGCAAGTGTCTGAGAGTCACGAGTGAAGGACTGCAACCGGCGAAGCGCCTGACTTCTCCTCGCGCAGGCGAACAGTGAACTGCCGCTGGACTGCATCCTGCGTAGGAATACGGTAGGATCCAACAGCTGTCGCAACATTTCACCGAAAATTTGCACCGAATTTTATTTTTACAAATTCAATTCATGTCCTACAATTGGCCTTTGTCTTTTGAAGGCCCGCATAGAAACGTAAATACACTCTTGAACAGCAAGCGTAAATGAGGCTGCACATTATTTATAACCTAAACTACAGAGGCTGATGATTCTTTATAGCCTAGCTTAGACAATGAATTATGGTGCTTCATAATTTTGCGTCCAGTAAGCAATATTAAATTCTGGGACCAATTAAGGAATCAAGGCTGCATTCTGTGCGGTTTACAGAATTTAGCTGCAGTTGATCTATTAGGAAAATGTTTCGTTCCATTAGGAATAGGCTCCATCTTTCTATAGCGAGTATGTAACAGTTTTGCGAATAAAATGCTGGCGGATGATTGGTTGTTCGGCATGTCTTGCTCAGATCATTGATGAGCATTTCTCATGCATCTCATTTAACTTTGCATGATTGTTAACTCGTTCTCGATGGAATCTGCATGACCCAGCTAGCTTTCTCGCTAGTATCGCTCTGATTTTCGACACTCATTATGGTCATGATTGGCTCGCTACATGTACCATGATTGGCTACATATACATACCATGATTGGCTCGCTTCTATCCTCTTAACTGGAAATTAATTTATATGGCCATCAAATTAAGGAAGTGGAAAAATATTAAATCCCGAGAATTTTATGCTCAGACTTCCATAAATATCCCATTAAATAAAGTCACAAATGGAAAAGATTGTAAACTGATTACAAATAAATTGATAGGAGCGTGGGCACAATACACTGTAACGATCGTTTGTTTTCTATGGCCTTGAAACGGTAAGTTCCCAAGTTATTCCAATCAGTCTTCATTTCGAACAATCAATTTAAAAAAATTTCAACAAACATCGTAAATGTTTCAGCTCACGACGATCTTCCGTATACAATATTCTCTTACTATCATTATGCAAATGCGCTTCTGACGCACGGAACAAGCTAGCGCTTCTTTAGGGATGGAATTTTGAAGATCTGAAGCGTTGCAAATTGCCAGCTATCAATCACAAGGGCTTGGAGGTGCAAGCCATACTTTATGTGCTGTCATAGATTGATGGTAGACCTTGGATATTCAACTCTGCTGCTTAGTTTTCTGGACAAAGATAAAAAGCTATTGAGTTTGATTGATTATCCGACATATAGGTAATAACCATGCTCTCTTGACTCGTTTTCCCTACTAGTGGTGTGAAGGCAGAATGAATGATATTAATTAATTTCTTAAAATTATCTAAGCATTATTCCAGAAAATTTTCTATAGGAATATATTCCTTGTTTTAGGTTAACAAGCATTCAATTATATTATAGGTGTTGTTGAATTTGTATGAAGCATTCAATTCAATTTTGAAGTTTAACGAAGAAAAATGTAAGTGCAGACTTTCAGTTGATTGACAAAAGAATGTGAAAATAATGGCACCCTCCCTTAAAATAAAAAATTAACAAATTTATTTTTTTTTATGCAGAGCTCCTTAAACTTAGGAGGTTTCAAACGAAAATCTAGAGCATCCATGAAACTAAACGAAATTAAACTGATTTTCATTCTAATTACATCTGAGATCTATTTTTATTATATTTTTCAGAACACTTCATTGGACAATGTTGATCATTTTTTTCTATTTCTTGTTTAGTTTGAAACGGTATAAGTAATCGCGAAGAGCATGTGACCAAATCCGTTTGACTTCTCCACCTTCAAATTAGATGGAAAATAAAAATTAAGTTCCAGTCATAGGAACAGTGTTGAAAATTTTTATTGCAATGCATTCCAGTCTATATTGCTTTCTTTCACATGTAATCTGCTTATAAACTCGAAAGCTTCATCGAAAAACGCCCGCGTTAGTGCGAAAAAATTATGGATGAGATGAATTTGCCTGCATTTGAAAAAATTTCGTAAGCAATGCTCGCGGGTTTCAGGGAAGTACTAAGGAAAGTTGACGAATATAAACGCGAGATCATAGGCATGAAGCCATTAATACTTGGCAGCTCATCTTTCAAATGTAGCTTGCATTTTATTTTCTCTACGACTCTCAATGTCTTTCAGGCAGCGTCATGTAACACAGAGGTATCTTGAAGCGCTTGCGTATAATTGTGGCTTTTAGTTTCTAGCTAAGGAAACTTGAGCAGTTCGTTTCTTCGTGCACATCTTAATGACCGCAATGTAATGCCATCTTGATCACTTCAAAGGGGGGACTCGGAGAACGATGAGGTAATATAATTTATATTCAAAATATATTTTTGTTCATGTGTAGTTCACGAGAGGCGAAACTACTTTCATTAGCGCTTGTTATAGTTGCAAACTTATTCAAAAATTCAATGTTAGCCAAGGTTATAAACCTTTCTTCAAGAGAGTGTCGAAAAATGTAAAAATTATGAAAGTATTAACAATATTTGGTAAAAAGAGCATATTCTTGCATTATACATTTCCTAAATTCATATTTATCTTATATGAAAGAATTCTTTTCAACTGAGGTGAAATGATGAAAAAGTGCAGATGTTTAACAGAATCTTTCAATTTACATCATATATACGTCAAAATTTAAGCCATTAATTCTAAAGGAATAAATTCAATCACATATTTTACTCACACGCATTTATTAGTGACTAGGATGTGCATCCCTTTGAAACGAAGAACACAAAACATAATATTAATAAATTTGTACACTTAAACGTACAGATAGTCAACTCCTTAGTTCAATCCTATAATCACTATGAAAAATAAACAATTTTCTTGTTTTATTATTGTCTGTTAGCAGATGTTGTCTAGGAATTCTTATTCTCAGGAAGTTTTTTATACATATCGCTAATTAATACTGTGTGTTTTTACCATTCATTTTTAACATATAACACGAATATTTCTGCCTCAAAAAGAAGTAGATAATGTGAACAATATGTGAACAATATTTTGAAAATTATTTTAAATGTCTGGGTTTAATTTGAGAATATCCTTTAGAGGGCACACCAAATGTACTTTTCTGTACAATGAAAAATAGTATCATCGTCCTTACCTAAGTGATAAGGTTTTAACACTCACGAAACCCTTCATTGTATAAGACTTAAAAGTTTGAAGGTAAGAGTGTATTAATTGGCAGTGAGATAATAGAGCACATTGTACTTTCTCGACTGTACATAAATTGCAGTTTAATAGTAATGGTTGCAATCAGAACTGCACTTTGTCATCATCAGGAATTACTTTCTGAAGATTATACCCGAAGTTTGTTTCAGAGAATATAGGATTTTCAAGTTCGTATTTGCATGCACTAAATTATTTTCCTTACACTCATGAAAACATGAAGACGTTGGCACATTTATTAATTGATAATAAAAACTATGTATCGGGGATTCAAAAGTTAAAATCATTCAGTCTGTGTTTCTGAACATAATAGAATCCATTTTCTTGAACACTTAAAATTGGTTTATGAACAATAGATATCAAGGTTATTTGTTTTATTAATATTTGCGCGGCATCGAGAAGTATTGCGTTTCCAGCGGCCATATATTCGTAGTATGCGAGCAAGTAAGGATAAAAAGAACATGACATGCAGCCAGCAGCCCCAAAAAAACCTTGAATGGTTTGAAAAGTTCAAACAAAAAATTGTCTTGCGAGAACATGTAGCTCACTTGCATCAATTGGACAATAGTTATAAGGATGCCAGAGCACCAGTAAAAAGAACTTGCGTAAACTAATTTTGGTCTTTATAGAAACTCTTCTTATATAAATTACTAAAACCTTAGTTGAAGCCTCATGTAATCAATTTTGTGAAGGGTTAAAATATTGAGAAAATAATATATTCTTTACTACCGTTGATACAATCAATGATAAAATGAAAATTATGATACAATCTTGGTCGAACCTTTATTGGAATTGATTCAGTGAATCTGTCCTCAATAATTGTTTTGGGTTAGGTTTTTTTAAACGTCAGGCGTTTGAATTATATGTTTGGATTCTCAAGGCCGGGATGTGAGGAAAAAGAGATTATTTGGTATACTACAGGGCTGAAGGGCACTCCGCTTCACGTTTGGGCCTATTTAAACAACATCGAACATTCAGGAAACAACGAAAGCAGTTGAAAAGATTGGAAATGTAGAAGCATTTTGGTGCATTTAAAAATATTTTCTGGAATTTGAAATAAGAAGCTGCGAGGAAGTTTTCTGGTACTTTAAAATTGATTTGATTGGTACTTTAAAATTGAGTCGTAAACTACTACATTAAATAAGCAAATTCCTCTCTTGAATCACCCGATATCTTACAACATTTAAAGCAACAAATGACATTTGGGACTCGTACTCGGGGATGGCAACCACATCTTGGAGGCCTTTAATTATGACAAATGTTGACATCGTTTGTACACTAACTGACCAGGGTAACGGACAAAAAAATTATTCTCTTTAAAGCCGCTATGGAGCGCATAAAAACCTAGTGTCATTAGGATATGACCAGGTTAAGGCAGCTCTGGCATGGTGTTACCGCCCTCCGACGCGTGGTAGCGGGAGCGCGTGGCGAAGTCGCGGTTGAGTTCCGTGATCTGCCGGGACTCAACCTCCACACCAGGGTGCTCAGGCGCCAGCACAACCACGCCTGCCTCAGACGGTGCTCGCCTGCTTGTCAGATGTGATATAAAACATTAATGTTTAACCGAGGAAACTACAGAAAATCAGGTGAGATTTTCAGCCTATTTTAGCTTATGTGGCTATTTCTTCCAGCTTATCTACTCATTTCAGTCAACCGGCGCAACCATTTAGAATGCGCACGACGGATTTCATATTTCCAGCAAGAATTAGACATATCGTTATAGTAAATCAACTAAAAAATAGTAAATGAACTGCTGAGACCATTGGCCTCCTTCTCAGTGACATTTGTTACACTACTTCTCACCCCAGGCAGATGAGACACCTAAGTCTCACCCCAGGCAGATGAGACACCTAAGTCTGAGCCAGCGCAATAAGGAGAAGTCGCCCGCGATGCCTGGCGGCAGGCCAGGAGCCGCGCGTCCGACGTAGAAGTAGATGAGCAGCGCCACCATCAGCGTCAGCATTCCGTACACCCAGTTGATGGTGAGCATCAGCACCAGCTTTAGCAGCGCCTGCCATTTAAATATTTCCCCGCTTATGAGAACAAACAAATATATTATTATAGAAGCTTGTCGTCAATGTTCATCTTCTCGTAAAAATGGGAACTCTTGTTTGATGTTTGCGGAGCATACAGTTGGGAATACCTAAAGTAAATTGAGGAGGAGCATCATCACAAGCTTCAATAAAACCCGCAGTTGATTTTTCATTAGTGCAATAAAATAAAATAACCAATAGAAGAACATTGGATTAAACATGGGATTTTATGAGCGACATTCGAATTTATCTGAAGCCATTAAGTGAGGGATTCACGCAAAAGAGATTTGATAAACACAATGCAATCATTTATGCAGCAGTTAGACCAAATCTAAACCTTTTGGATATGAAATATGTTATCATTCGAATCTCGCCAAGAAATTGAACATCCCAAAAGTTCACAACTGCTCGAATATAACCTAAGAGGTCACATGAAAGCAGCTGTTTATTACTTATGATAATTATTGATGTATAGCTTTTTAATATTATTGTAACAAGTGGAAAATAATGATGGTCAAGAGACACAGTTAGGGTATCATTTGGTGCTGACCCCTAACAGTGCGACCCAGCGGTTGCAGAGGCGCGAGTACCAGTGTTGAGTCTTGGCAGTGATGCCTGAGCTTGGTAAGTCCGCACCCCCGAGAGCGGCGTCTGGGGAACAAAAACTTAGTCGGTCACTCTATTCAAATTGAGTTGAATTTCATGCTCGAATTTAAGCAATCTGAATAGTAATATGTAAGTATTGAGCAGGCTCAAACAATTTAAATGCTTGATGACCATTAATCAACCACGCAGTGAACGTATTTTTATTCGACAATTGTGCACCGCCCATTTATCTAAATAATAGCGAGCACAGTTTCCTTCTTTCTTCTGAGGACAAGGCATCCTATGCTTATGCTACAGAACACAGACCAAATACACAAGGCGTCTGAACGGCAGAGATTTTATTACATCTGAGTAAGATTGCTAAGGAGTTGTCGAGAAGTGACATTGTTGAAGATCAGGCACTACAAAAACGCTGAATTTGATCGCAAACTGCATGCAAAGCTTTGGTCGAGAAATGCGCTAACCGGTCCATAAGGTCGATTGATAGGAACTTTGGCATTTATGTCAGTCCCGCAAAGAAGCATGTGCTGGTAGACGAGTAGCGAAGGGGTCACGTGGAAATGCTCTACAAACACTTTTCTGAAATATTCACTTGTCATGAAACGATCTTCGTCATCAGACGCATTGATTAAGGATCTCTGCTGCAAAGGTGCTGTAGAAGCGCTTTGGAAGAGCACGAAATACGCTTTAAATCAGGCTGAAGCGCAACTTGAATATTGGCAGGCTATATTTTAATTCTAACGAAAGAACCTTCTACAGAACAAGACTCGGAGATTAATGGACTTGTTTAGCTGAAAACTCAAGATTCTATCAAGGATCTAGCACATCCACTTTCAAGTAGGACTTCAATCAAATTTTCGCTTGAAACATTTCCTGGATGCTGCTGCTGACGTGCCCATGAGAGATCAACAAAAGCAGAGTGTGCCTATCCCACCGACATGTAGATATGAAGCTCAATATAGACGAAAATGGTATCCGGAACGATTTTTTGATGGATGTCAATTGACTTACGAAAAAATATCTTTTGCATCTTATATAGTACTTAATGAATATTTTCTGGTAGCAAGGCAAAGATTTTCTTCTGGATTTTGTATCAAATCAATAATTTTCGTCGCAACCCGAGGCCGCTGCTTATTGTTTATTGTTAGGGTAAAATTTTTCACCTGCAGATTTTCGGTCATTATTTGTCTCTTCTGGAGTTGTTGCCAAACTGGAGGAGTCGGAGCTGGCGGTGCTCTGTAACATGTCAAAAATATTGCATTTCGCAAGGTTAAACTCGAATTAGTGTTCATCAACAATATTGCGTTCCAATATAACTGAGGCTATTTCAACACTTTGTTACCCAAGTTAGAACTAAATGAGTTTCGTTGATTTTTCCAGGAAAGAGAGGACAGATGCGTCCCTGATATGCTCACAGTGATGATCTTTTTGTGGTGTGTGACGCGCTCCGGGAAAAGTCTGTCGAGTATTCCTTCCGTTGTCGGCGTCCATCCGAAGACCGACGCGCCTCGACCTTCACTTGGATGACGCGTGCTGCCAATAAAGCGATAGGGTATCAAACAAGCGTGCAAGATGTTTTAGAAGTATTAAATTCACATTCCGTTCAACAAATCTGGTCCTGCAACTTCAAGCGAAAATTGTCCCTTGTAGCGAAAATTATTGTCCTATATATTGAGGTTTACAGGATATTAGATTTTTGGTGCCCTCTGAAAAGAAACGCCATTGGAGAAGCTTTAAAAATCTTTTAAGTCGAATGAATTTAAATGCCAGCAATGCTTGGTCACAAGCGTGGTGATGGTAAATTATCATCCTGATTTGGCCAGTCGCAGAAACGTACATTCATTTTTTCGAAACGCCGATGAATGAACACTAAAAATAAACTGAATAGACTCTTCGGAGGACTAAAAGGAATTGTTGCGGATAAAATTACTAACTAAAAATCATAAGCAGCATGGGGGTTAAGTGGAGCGTCTACCCCAAAATCGAAAATTCTGACTTTTCCGGTTTTTATACTCATCTTAAAGCTTACATTCTGACGCATGTAACGGTATCAAAACCATCTCTGTTCGTTGATTTATGCGTTCACGACAGATCACGAAAGGGTTAGGGGTGGTGGAGTTCTTTCACATTTAAGACAGGCGAAAACTCGCTGCCAAGCACATAAATAGACGGTCTGAAGTCGCTGCTCTTTAGTTACCCGGCTGCTGTCATGCGGGATGTTCATTCAGTTGTTCCCAAAATCATGTAGTCGTTCCCAACATCCTTAACTGAATTTAAGCTCCAGTAACGCCTAGTCTTGCACCCTTGCCATTTTGAATGCCGATTTCGAGGCGCTCGGGACTTTGTCGCACTTTACTGAACATTCACACTTATTGTCACTGCAAACCTATCTCCTCCTAGGATTTTGAAGCTACAGCAATGAGAGATGTACCGTTCGATTTGCAAAAAAAAAAATATCTACAAAATTGTTTATGCGTTTTTCGGATTTCGCTATAGTTTGGATTTTATTCAAAAAATTTCAAAAAAAGAAATTTTCAAAATTCTACAATTTTATAGATATGATTTTTGCGCATCGAATGATATGCGTCTCGATGTCATAGCTTAAAAACCCTAGGAGAAGAAAGATTTCTACAGTACCCCCTTTTTGGAAGTTTTCTTAGAATTTCACGTTTTCTTTCATTTTTTTCGAAAAATTTACACGAACAAAAAAGTCGTAGAATTCGGTTTTACATACGTGTATCAAGTTTCGGAGTGATACGTCAGTTAATAACCGAGATTAAGTTTTGGGCAGAAGCTCCCCTTAAATTTTACCGTGACGTATGCAAAGAAAAACACGCGTAAATATCCACTGATATTTCCAGTTTACGAACTCCACCTGCCGCTTGTGGTGATCGAACCTAAGCGCAGCACCTAACCCAGCCGCACATCTGTAGTAATAGCAAATAGCAATCTAGGTTGACACCTTGCCTTAAAAATCCGGCCCACTGCAGCCATCTATCGCGGCAACTGCAAGGCAGCTCGTTCATGCACCTGTTGCGGTAATCACGCGAGGGAAGTCCTTCACGCACCTGTTGCGGTAATCACCTGTAGCGGTAATCCTTCGCCGCCCGCATGTCAGCGGTGACGGCGAGGGTGAAGTAAGCGTAGTCGACTGTAGCGTAGGTGAGCAGGAAGGGCGTCGTGACTATGGGTGCCAGGGTGTTGATGTTACCCAGCAGCAAACAGGCTGCTGCAGCGCCTACCACCAGTAACACGCCCAGCACTGGCACTTGGTTGGGCCCACGCTGTCAATGATGAAGTCGTTTTAAATAGAGACACTCCATGTACAGCGCCTTAATTTGGACCATAAATCTTGAAGGAGGATATTACCTTGCTGTTTAACAATATTGATACTTTATTTCATTCAAGATCGTGATGCTGTGCTTTACTTTTTGCGTCATGTACGCTCATGTAACTAAACTGCCTCATAATTTCCGCAATTCACTGGAAATGCGTTCATCATCTTATCTTATGAGCATGCCTGAGTTGGTTTCCATTAAAAAAGGCTCAAAAAGATTTTATCCTCAAGCTATTTCAATACTCGTCCATTATTTATTCATGCTTATACCGAAACCATAGCGTGCGTATTTATCAAATAAATCCCCTCATAATGCGTTAGCTACCGTCTCACCCACTCAGCTAGCCCCCTCATGAAGGGTACGACGTTCCCTGCCCCATCTCACCCCCTTAGCTAGCCCCTCATGAAGGGTACGACGTTCCCTGCCCCATCTCACCCCCTTAGCTAGCCCCCTCATGAAGGGCACGACGTTCTCGGCAGCCAGGGACTGCAAGACTCTAGGAGTGCCGTAGAGAGAGACCACGCTGGAGGAGAGGGTGCTCGTGTACAGCCCGACGAGTAGCAAGACTCCTTCAGAAAATATTACTTTTTTATTGAAGAAATATTTTTTATCGCCACGTTATTTATACCATTTATTGCACAAAACTAAAATAATTGATTCACACGATAATTGAACATTTAGTAAGAACTCAAGAAATACAATAAATTCAAAAAAATAATAGTATTAGGTAATTTGAATAAATGAACATCAAGCACTTGATTATTTAGCGTAAATAACATTTCGAAGGCTAGAGGAAACAGATCTCGCTGAGAATCTACGATAAATTCTTGCGTAAAATCTACGCACCGACTGCTGACACTTTTTCAGTAACCATGTAGTCGTCGAGGAGGGCGGGCCTACGTACCGTCGCCGCCAGTACGTACATCACCAGTAGGTATACGCACGTGCTGCACACAAACATATACAATGTTGTTCGTTCCGATGCCGTGAATGATCCATGTATAATTGTTATTGTCCATGTCTAAACACATAATTCTTACCGTGCTGCCAAGCGGGAAATATAATTTGTACTATATAATATTTGCTTTAAGCTGCCAGAGTTACGGACAAGAAAAACTAATTGATTTAAAATATAAACCTTTGAACATAACTTTAACTAATAGTTATAGAAGATTATTCCACTTTATACAGATAATATCTGTATTCTACTTTATACAGATAATTACTAGTTTTTACTACACTTCTCTTTAACTTCACTTCTTGTTTGTCTGTCTGTCTGTCTGTCTGTCTGTATGTCTGTCTGTCTGTCTGCTACAAATCTTGTAATCAAAATTTAATACACTTCTACTTATCCTATCGATCTGAAATTTTGCACACTTGTTCAAAATTGGAGACAATGCATGAATCAAATGTCAAAATAAATGATTTTTAAAATTTAAATTTTTTTTTCAATATTAAAAAAATTGAAAAAATAATTTTGTCAGCTACAAATCTTATAACTGATATTTGACACACTTTTACCTGTCTAATTGATCTGAAATTTTGCACACTTGTGTGAAGTCAGAGGCAATGCATGAATCAATTAACAGAATAAATAATTTTGAAAATTTTATATTAAAAAATTGAAAAATAAATTTTTTTAATTTTCGAAAATTAGATGAGAAATTCATTGTACATCTGTAAGATTGGAGATACTGGATTCTTTGGAAGTGTTGTCTTTAAAAAGTAATTTTTAAATGTATATTATTACTAATACATTTTATACTAATAACGTATGTGGCCCTGTTCACCTGAAGCCGAGGGCCGAGAAGGTGCCAGCTGGGATATCGGATGCGGGTGACCGCAAGTCGCCACTCATGTTGATGCCCGCCATGACGCCCGTCACGGCAGGGAAGAACACGCCCGCCACCGAGAACCAACTCTGCCCCGACGTGTAGGACGGACCAGAGTTCGAGCGGAACGTGGCCAGCGACCAGCCCACCACACCCGACCCTTGAATCGATATTTATCTGTACGGTATATTCTCATTTTATTCGGTTCAATAAATACAGGAATTCAAAAAACAAACTGTCAAAAGTTCATTCAGTTAATGGGCCAAAAATTTTGCTGTTTACAAACATGAGTCCCAGATTAATCGCAAGTGAAATGAACCTGCATGATTAATCAAAATTGAAATGAACCTGCATGCACTGAGTACGGGCTGCGATTTTTACCTATTAAAAGCCCTGTCCCTATACTTGGCTTCTAACTCATGAGGCCTCACAAGTCAAAGTGAGTCGCAGTTAAAGTTTTATGCGCCACCTAAACAGAGCCTGTCATTGCAAAGAGCAGACGCGGCTTTAAAACTTTGTGGGAAAATGTTTGGCAGGAAACAAACTAGGATAAACGTTCAAATTCTTCCACACGTTCCGGAAAAACATTTTTACTTCTTTTAGAAGAAAAATGACGCTTCGCGGGCTAGAGCTCAGAAAGCGACAGTTACAATTAGTTCGGAAGTTTCGAAAACTAGGGACAAATATGAAGAACTCGTTTTGTTAAAAGTCGTGTTTTGATTAGACAAATACTTATTAAATTTTTCAAATAAAGGCTGAAAATTTTCAAACCAAAGCTATTTTTTAAAACATTAGTTATTCATTATTGACCACATTGTTTTTACAGGCAATTACACATTTTGTGCATAACGCAAATTTTATGGAAATTGTGTCATGGCATAAAGACCAAATGCTTCTATATTTAAGTTTGAATGCTGCTAAGTAAGTTAAATATGTTTCATCGTGATTTTGTGCAAAAAAAATGCTCTGTTTATACTGCTGGGAGACCCAAGGCTTGGGCGATAAATTGGTTATGGAGTGATAGGTAAAGCCGTGTGTAACTGGCAGGAGACATCAATCTCCTGAGAGAGCCTGCCTCGACTCTTACTTCCCTCTAGTGATTGAAAATTTCAGTTAACGGAACAAAATCTTAGGAACTTTATTGGAAACGGGCAATGAAAAATGTGAATTAAGAAATTTGAATTTTGGATAGCATTTTAGCTATAGTCAGGAATCGATTCTTACCTTCTTGAGAAGGGAGAAAAGATCCTACGACGAAGTCGAGAACGGCGAGCAAAATGAGGAAGAGAAGCAGAAACTGAACTTTTACGACCCATTTTACGCCAGCCATGTTAATGAACGCCAGCACCAGCAAGGCGGCCGCAGACACGCCGCGCTCGAGCCACACCGACGCAGCACCGGACGCTTGCAGCAGCTCAGCGATGCTCTCGCCAAATCCCGCCACGCAGAGGGTGATGGAAACCGTCTAGAAATAGATAATTCCACGTATATATTATTGTATACATTAATTATGACTTGTGATGAATTTTTAACATGCCGTTGGTTGTCTGAAATTAATTATTACCTGACCAAAGCAGTAAATAAGCCCCACGGCGGCGCCCACGCGGCCCCCCATGACATGTGCGATGAGGAAGTAAACTCCCCCTCTGGAGGCGCCCTCGTCATCCCCTCTGTCCACACTGCGCTCGCAGATACCTACAGCCGACAACACTGACGTCAGCACCACCAACACTGCAAGGAAAACAAATGAATCAAAAAATAAAAATAATAATTATTTGAAACTATTCAAGAATATTGTAAACTACTAATATTCAATGGAATGGAAAACTAACAGATGTACAGAATAGAAGATTAACTCTGAATTTATGCCTCAACAGTATTAACGTTGGAACATTAGTACTATGATAATATCTATGGACATGCGGACCATGTTCATTGCTACCTACCTGGCCTGAAGACACAGCAGAAACTTGTGCTGTAAAATAATCCAATTACACCCCCGACTATACGTATTTCTATATAAAATGTCAAGTAGACTGACCTGACATAAAAACTATGAGACTAGCCATTGCGACGCCGGCTTGGGCGACGATCCATCCCGCTCTGAGGAACAGGATCACGCCCAGCAGGTTGACCATGCATGACGTGAACACTCCGTCCCAGCGACCAAGCAACAGCCGCTCGCGCACGAAGAACTGCCGGAACAACCACCACGGCCTCTCCCCCTGACACCACCACACGATAATAACTGAATTTACAATGAATTTGCAATTACGCTGATCTATTATGTTGATTCGGATCCGACTTAATGAAAATTTCAGAAAAAATTGCAAACATTTACCATTTCCTTGTATGAGAATGTGTTGTGTTCTAGGATTTTGAACTGACGATAGAGCTGGAAATGTTTTCTCATGTGAAGAAACGGGGAATTTTCGCGTTATTTTCTTTGCTTCTAAATTATTGTGAAATTTGCAGTTTAAGTAACCAGGTGATCTTAATACCGATGACGGAAATTATGATGACATAATATATAGATGAATACATCTGGCCATGGAAGACCTAGCAGTATATAAATACTCTTGCCACGTCTCATTATCGAGGGCTGGTCTTCATCATCGAAGTGATGCTTTAACTCTGCAGCGCCGTATAAGTTTCAGTAGCAGTATAAATATATTTATATATGTGAGTCACTATAACCGCAGCAAATAACAATACCAAAATGCGAAAACAATGCCGAAAATGAGATTTCCGCGTTTTGTGGTTTTGATAACCGAAATATTTGTTGACCTAAGTAAATTTATTCGGACCAATTGGAGCAAAATCCAAAAATGAAGAACGGCATCGTGAATTTTTAACGCAAATATCAAATGAGTCTAAGAATTTTCATAGAATATTTAACGTTATCGGAGTAATATGTGAGGTCCTTAACTTGTTACCTAGGATGCTTGTGATCGGAATTGTAAATGCGACATTCAGAAAATTTCCTACTCGTTCTGTTTCTATTTGCAAACTTCATGGCATATACGAATGATTGGTGACAATTCTTAACGTCCACTACAATGAACTATGTTGAACGGTCCTGTATTGGTGAATAAAGAAGGTTGTGAAATAGGAAATGTGCAATAATAAACATGAAATTCAAGGGCTCGGATGGAAGTGGCTCTCGTTTAATTTTCCCCCTTACTTAAAAACAGCATTGGCAATAGTAATTACCAGGAGGTTTTAGTCCTTCTAATCACCGAGAATCACCCAACTTCAATAGATAATTGCGTTCTTTCGTAAATAATCCATGATTTTTCTAAATAATAGTAAAAAATTAAGATGGTAGTTTAATTAATTTAAGTTTAATGAATTCGAGGCTTTAACCTCACCTTTGCTTCGGAGAAGAGATCCTCTTCTCTGCCACCATAAAGGGCCTCTTCGATTTCCGGGTTCCTCAACCGCGTTGCTTCTGTTGCCTCTGACGACGTTGATGCGTCGGTGCCACACGTTGACTCTATACCACCTGTTGACTCTATTCCACCAGTTGACTCTATACCACCTGTTGACTCGGTGCCACCTGTTGATTCGGTTGCCGTTGTTTCCAAGCCGCCGTCCGGAACCGATGTCGCGGCCGGTGTAGGTGTGGCGAGGCCAAACCGAGCCCAGTCTACCTCGCTCATTTTTCCCGCTTATGTAAGAATTTAATCACTAAAATAATAATTCAAAGGGAAATACGCAGTGGATCAAAATATCATATCCAATTAATATAAGCTATTCCTACACTGGCATACTATTTGGAACATAAAGCGATGGGAGAATAATTTATTATTGAGAAGCGTTCAAGCGATTTAAAGCAGCTACGAACTTATTTGGTGAGTGAGCAATAATTTTGTGATAATGGAGAGAATTTACTTTAAAACTGAACAAATATACGTCAGTCCAAATAAACGGAAAATACTTTTGCGCAATAAAGAAGCTAATAATGGCGTTATGAAATGAGAGAATAAATAAATAACTAATGTACACGTATAATATTATTAGTTTAAGAGGGCAGAGTAAGCTTTTTTAGGCACGGGTGATTAATGGCCAGAGAATTCATTGATTTAAATTTTTTAGGATCCAACAATATTCTTCAGATGACGTTGGTCGATCAGAATGCAGGTTTAAGGAAGTAATTTTAGTTTATTTACGATGTATATCTGATAATATAAAATAATATCATAAGGTCTCAAAGAATTACAATGGAGCAACTTCATCTCAAAATCCGCGATGAATTCGGCAGGCTCCGTGATAATCTTGACAACGTCAAACTCAACGAGACCTTCACTCGCGCTGTGCTGGAGGAACCCATGTATGCATGGTTGAACTAGTATAAGGTTGACCCATAATAAGCTCATTTTTGCGGATGTAGTTTGTTGTTCGCCTGTGACGTCACTGATCTCAGTGACATCACAAGCATTAACCAATCACCGAAATGCGATCAAACCAGTCAACCAATCCGTCATGGGAATGACGGGTTTGTTTACGTTTCTAGATCTCAGTGACGTAACAGGAAAGCTGAACTGAAAGACGGAACTTCTTGTGGGTAAACCTTATATAGTTCAATAATGGGAGGAACTCACCATCGTCATCTTGCAGCGGACCGACATCATCCGACCGACGATAGCTCTACGGATTGAACTCCAGTTATCCATCTCACAACTACCGGATTTTCTAAGCTTTGAAATTATTTTGGAGTTATTTTCAGGGTTACAAATTTCCTTGTTGTCTCATATTTATGTGTATCATGTACTTATTTCCACTAAAATTTCAGTATTAATATAATAAATTGAAATTACTTCCTTTAAGCTACATTTTGATCAACCAACGTCATCTGAAGAATATGGTTTGACCGTGAAAACTTAAATCAATGAATTATCTGGCCATAATCCACCCGTGTATAACATTACTGTATATGCAAAATATTCAATATCAGATATGACAGACATCGTTGAAAATAACTATGAGATAACACCAGTTCATGTGGATAACAAAATAGAATCTACAGCCACTACGGGATAACCATAGAAATCAGTTCGTCGCCCACAGTTGGAGCCAAGGTGTAAAGTAAATGTAGTTTATGCGTACTTCCTACGTACGGGTATTGCATATTTCTAACACCTTATGCTCACGGCCGCACAGTTCCGGATGACAGCGACATAAGGACTCACTTCAGTTACTCCACGGAGACTGATCCCATTATTTGAGTATCGAATCAGTTGTGCTCTGCAACTCCACGGAAATAATTCCCAACATTTGCGTATCAAATCTGTGCACCGTCTTCTCTCCGTGGAAATTACACATTTTAGTATTACTGGACGTTCAAAGGGAAATTTCGCTCTAACATTAACAAGAACACTCTTTTCAAGTGTTGATCATCCCAATGACGAGTCGGTGCTTGGCTTATAGCATTATGTATCATAAATTTATCGTTTGCTAACGTTAAATTTTCACCGAAAAAATGACATTTCTCAGCCGTTTCATTTGATGACATCAAACATCAGAGAGTTGAAACAGTATGAAGAGTTGAAACAGCATCAAATATCGAAGATTTGAAACAGTATGCATGCAACAGGTCTCGTGGCAATCACTGTCAGTCGAAAAATAATGATAGTGAAAATTAATGATTTACTAAAGTTAAATTCTTAGAAACAGCTTGAATATCTACCTATAATAGATAAGCTCATTGCTAACTTTGCTGAACGTGCTGTAATATTTTTATGATAAAGTGAGAAGGTTCAGCCAACATATGGTTTGATGACGATCTCTATCTAGGGAGCTTTATCTTCGATTCAATCATGATTTTTTTATGAATACGCATTTGCCACAAATATTTTCAGTCATCGAATGACTACCAGTCGATATATGCTAAAATTTAGTGTAAGTTTTTTTTGCCGGGAAACCAAGAGACCGCATTTGATAAATCTTTGACATGGAGCTACGCACCACACACAACCTTACGAGACAGCGGCTCCAGCGGAACTGAGTGCCGGGAAGGTTCGAAGCTCAAAAACTGGCTCAAAGTTTACCAAAAAGAGCAAATAAACAGCGCTCTCTGCTAGCAGGACTGATGCTCATGCAGCTGCGTAATTTTTCAATTTTTCATAATTCGATTTTTTCCTAGATCGACAGAAAAAATTATTTCAAATAATGTTTTGACTGGAAGGTTAAAAAAGATAATTTTGAAACAGTGAGGGTCTATGGAGATTAACAGCCAGTGTATCGTGTAGGAACCTACAATAAATTTTTGATCAATGTACTCTACTTTATATTGAACGTCGTGGAAGCGCGTAACTGTGATCGTTATGGGCATGGTTGAATTAATACAATAATTACAACCATGGTTATGGGTACCGCAAGTCGCCCTAATCTATAACATCCCACCCCATATTAGGAGGTAATATGATGTACGATGGTAAGGTTATAGGTAATATCAATTACTTTAGTACTTTAAAGTACTATTACTTTGATAACACTTTTACCTCGTCTAGTGTTGAAGTCCCCTCATCATACATAGTGAAGCATTCATAATGCACACAAGTACACGAGAGAAGGTAAATGGCGTCTACAAGGAAATGAACTATCGCATTTTACTCGTTACAAAACCACTTGGAGTAGCGATAATGTGATGATACGCCTAACAAGACAACAAATTAGTAATTTCCTGTGATTGGAACTGTTGAATTCGAACCTCAACCACAGCTACTGCAGAATATTAATATTATAAAAATAAGGTATACTATAGGCTTTATTTTTACCCTAACACTGTAATATTATCACCTAATAAAGTTTATTATGGAAATATAAGGTATCAGTTATGGTCAGAAATTTAGAAAATGACGGAAGAACGGGAATTTTCTTTAGTTAGTTTAGTTCCCGTAGGCCTTCATTCCCTGCCTACTGCGAGAAATGAACAGCGTTCGCACCTCAAGAAAACGATGCACGAAGAAGGGATAACGGTTTCTATTGTATTTGATGCACGAATATAATAGAAACAATGACGCTGGTTCAGAAGGTCGCTTACCAGAGACGTCGGCTAGGGCGTGAGCGACAGAGAAGAGAAATACAGGGTATCCCGCCTCCAGTAGAATATACAACTGAGACTCGCGCTCAGGTGCTGCATGCGATGTTTGTCGTGGGGCGCTTAAGAACAGCGTCGGCTAAGCACAGCAATATTGAAGCAGTGAGTTGCACGAGTGAGACTGCAACAAGTTGTGAATATTTTGCGATCTTTAAGAATCGGCGATAGGTTTAAAAGTGCATCAACGCTGAAACCGATATTACTTGTTTAATTTAGAAAAAAAATGTAACTGGATGGCCGAACGATTAATAACGTCCATGTATTAAATACATATCTTTTAAATCTTCCGTTATGTAGGCCTGCACTACAATACAACTCGCCAGTTCTGATCGGTTTGTTAGCTACCCCTCTTCTATCGTAACAGCTTTACATAATTTGAATGCCCCTACCCACGATTACTCATCGCAAGCGGAATTCCTACGGCTGCATCCTTACAAATTCATGCAATGCGGTAAGTGATAGTGTACTTTTCGTAAGTTTCAATACTTGGAATTTTTTTTAATATTTGATTTTAGACATTCTTATTCGAGGATACATATAAATCCCTCTCGTCCTTTTCCCTAATGTGTATCCCTTGTTGTACCTGATGCTATACACTTCGCTTCACGTTAATGAAGTTGTAGATTGTGAATTAAACTAAACCTGATATCTCCTGTTCCCCAATTTTTTTTAACAAAACTTTAATTCAAATCTAAACTCGATAATCCAGAAATAAAAGTAGTTGTGAATTGTAAATTTATCTATTTTAAATATAACACAAGAATCGATCAACCCCATCAACTTTACGTGAATTCAAAAAAAAATCTGTGCCACACAACATGTGGATTTCCGTGAGAACTACTAATGAGAGACAACAATGTCATCATTCTTTCGGAGAACAATGAGAATAATTTCGGCTGTATTATTTTAGTTTGTCCGAATGGCGCGGCGGCGGAGGCGTTAACACTAATACCATTGCGTGTTTTTCTTAAGGAAGTGAAATAAAAAGCACCGACTGAGTAAAAATATACTTGAGATAAGAAGACGTCGAAATAATACCCACAGAAGGAGAGCAACATCACGAAGATGAAGAAGAGATAATCAAGGGGATGAGATGTTCTAAACAAAATACAATATATGGCCACTAAAAAGCAAAGACTAACTACACAAATGCTCATTACAATGATATTCGAGCTGTAAAAACCTGCTTCAGTAAGACTAAAAATGATGTACAAAAAGGCCTGCGTTCGCGTCGATAAGCAGCCGTGGTATCGAAACCGCGAAATGCAATGTAATTTTTCTTATCATAACAAAAAGTTCTGAATAATAGTAAGTTATAGAAGTCTAGACGTGTCAATTAAAGAAGAGAGAAACATTAAAGACATAGTTTTTAGGTTTCATGGAGCGCCGTCACTCTAACGCCAACACTACACTAGTTATGATCTTCAAATGACGACAGAACGAACCACTCTAACTGTCGTTAGCAAATTACATAGCTAGGTCACTAACTAGACCGGTTAGCTGCCATGAGAAACGCAGAGAATAATTAGATGAGGTATAAGAAATATATCACATTAGGTTAGGAGCGCAACAACAAATTCTTGACGATAACTTAGACTTATCGCACACCGGACCGGGAGCAGACGACACCGTCTCGCCCAAATAGTCCGAGTGCAACGCGTCTATAACAGCAGCCTTCCTACCATTACGTGGGGAGTTCTACGTGTCAAAATCAGACCACGCAACACTGTTCTTGTCGATGTCACCTTACAGAGAAGCTAAGCGAGATGACCCACACTCATAACTGCGTATCTGCAGCAGTGTTAAGCCCACAGTTTGGTTTCTTCGAGTAGGCTGCACCAAGGACGCGCCTGTTGGCTGGACTTCACTGCCGCAATGTTAGCGTGCTGATACAGGGCGTGATTTATACAAGGTTTAAGCTTCTGCCTCGACTAAACATCATTAGATAATCTCAATCTTGAGCCGTTGAAGATTTTGCATCAGACAACGCAAGCTGCCTCATGTATAATTAGAGATGAAGAATCAAAACTTGATACGAAACAGACGACCGGTGCAGTGAGAGGGAAAACCTCTTCCTGGTCTTTGTTACGAGCAGTCGACAAACATTAGATTTATTTTCATGCTTTCCAACTAGTATCCTAAGTAATTTCAAGCATAAGCTGAAGCTAAGAGTCGTTGTATAATTATCGTAAACACATGCATTCTGTACGATTAATTGTCGTATCAATATATTTGTTCAGTAGAAAATATCAACATATTTGCTACTTCGTCACAGACCTGAGAAGCTACACTAGATATACCGCTAGAGTGAGCAAATCTAGGAGGCTAAATAGAAGGAGTCTTCTTGGATCACCACAGAACATTTAACCGAATATACTACTTTATGGAAGATACGAAACGTTTGAAGTTTCATCAGGAACTTTGGTTGTTTTATTGAAGAGGAGATCACTTAACCCTACAACGCCCAATTTTATAACTAGTCTAGCAACGAATTATTTATCTATAAGTTTATGCTGACTACACACGCATTGATATAGAAAAAGTGTAACTCTCTTGTGCGGGGGAACAGTGAAATTTTGCCCTGCCTCCGAATGTTAAAAAAGACGGAAATGCTTAAAAACACACGAGGTGAACATGCGAGGTCATGAAAAACACTCGTTTTGGGTCAATTTAAAGAACATATAACCAAAGAACAAATTGTGAAGAAAACGAAATTCAGTTCGTTGATGCAAAACGTAACGGATGATGCCGAAATCAAGTGAAAACTTCCCGGCAGCAACAACCCTGCCCACCACAATAAACAACAATGGTTCTACGTATCTATCATGTGCCTTATTGTAGAAAAGCACTTGAGCACAAAATTCTTCACTCATTGAAGCATACACTAAGAGCTAAGTTGACCACCACTAATTTATCAATAAAGAAAGGCTTGGAACGAAATCTCAAACATGATCCTTACAAAATTTCATGAGTTATTAAATAAATTTATCACGATTATCAATGGCGACTATGGATATTGAGAAGAAATAATTCATGATAACCTGATGTCAGCGCAAACGATGTGCTACAACATCACATGGACTCGGGAAAAGTCTAAATTTGATGTCCCGCCATCTGAACAATGAATGAACGAACTAACACTCCGAATATTTTCTTACTCGATAGTTATTGTCAGACACATGATGCAGGTAAAACAGATAAATTCTTTGGGTTCACAATTGGATTATAAAGAAACAATGCCAATACATCGGCGATGAGCTGCTCACTTGAACGACCACCAATAACTCATAAGGCACCACAAGGGACGGTTTACTGTCATGTCCAATTCACAATAGTTGATTAAGGCCGCTACTTCCGCACTAGTTCCGTAGTATGAGCACAAGGTTACAGCGTAAGCTTAAGCGCGTACTGAGCTAAACAATCTCACCTGTCCGATACATGCATGCCCGTCACATCTTACAATAATAACGTCTGCTATAAATTTTACTGATTAAACTGCAACTCACTCTACTAGGCACGAAGTACTCAGGGGCAAGCTAACTCTGAACGACTTACTTAGACATAGTCACGTGTACACTTAATTACTCCAGCAGACCAGAATTAAAATCTATCAAGTATAAAATCTGTCAGAAATGTTCGGTACAATACAAGGATAGAATTCACAGAAAACTGACATGAAAATCGGAAAATTACCTAGCGGGGAAACCATATCGCATGGATAATATTTTGTGCATGAAAACATTCAAGTAAAAATAGAGGGGAATTTAAGAGCGTTATGCCGACTGCATGACGAGCGCTATTTGTTGCAAAGCCGAAGTTTGCAAGGCTAGCTGAGGCACATAACACAAACCTTATACGGGACATGTACAATATGAGGAACGCACTTGTGACCAAAAGTGTGTTAGTGAGATAGTAACACTCAAGTTTACTACACTAACTCGTTGCTAGAGTAAAAAGGCTGTACATAGCTGCAAAGTTGATGATATAGTAAGTAGTTTAAGTAAGTAACGCTATAATACAGTAGACAGAGTGTCGCTTCATAGGCTTGCTCTCGTCCAGAGACTTGCAAGGCTCACACACAATTTACTCTCGACGTAACAAATTCACGACACCAGAACTTGTACTGCAACGCATTTAAGACATCGATGTTTTAGCTGCTATTTGCCAAGCTGCCAGGATTTGCACGCTAACAATATCATCAATAACAAAACCATTCCGGGAATTCAATAGCAGACAACATTTAAAGGCGAATTATAACAGTCCGACCAATATCAAGGCTAACAAAACACGGAAAATGTGAACAATACGAGATTATATTAATTATTATTAGAGGATTTCAACCTATTTCTATTTTCTAAAATCAGTTAACATATTCAACACGTACAAGTCAAGTAAGAAACCATTTAATGAACGAGTTTTAAAAGGCACGTAAGTTCTTCATATAAGACACAACCTTCAACGAATCCAGAGCCCGTAGGTCGCTGAGCTTTGAACTGTTACATGCAATCAGTGAACCATCACAAACAGACCGAAGCAAGGCCACAGAACACGACTGTCTCTCTTGATAAGACAAGCACAAGCGTTTCAGTCTTCATTTAGGCAAAAAACAGAAATGTTTATAGGGATAAAATAATTGACAAGTCATAGAGTTAATATAAAAAGAAGCCAAGAAAAAAATGGAAAAATATTCATGTTCATCAATACAATAGCTGCCAAACTTAGCAGCCTTCGCCGAGGACTACGACAGTCGTCTCGTGGCGACATGTTCTCGATCCTGGCAACGCGCACACGATTTTATTTGACACTCAAGCTGAGAAGCTGTCGTAATAAAATAAGAACTGCAGAGAAAACTAAGAGCAAGTGTAGAGACAGTCGCATGCTCAGACCTCAACATTACATTGCGACACTAATAACTCTTTTGCATTTCAAAACTATGAGCATAGTTAGCTAGCAGGTTCCTGGAACAAGTTATTTAATATGGTCACTACCAATACCAGCAGAATCAAATGTACTCTCAGAGGCGGTTTGAATATTGTTACGCAACCACTCATGACACCGGCCAGTAGTTATAACGAACCCGCAGCTTAATATGTCATCAATGATTCGTAAGTATTACATTCTAATAGATAATAATCGGCATAAGTTGCACCTACTAGAGGGATTGTCACAATCACAGATCAGACTGAAGTTAGTAGACTTACGACCATGGCATTTCATCCGCCATGACACCCACAGTCGGTATAGGTAAGTTAGGCGGAAGGTACAGTACTGCATATGCAGCAAAAATGAAACATTAAACTAACGTTGAAGTTCAGACAAAAGCAGGTTTAGTTTCTATGGTATAATTTGAGCACAGAAGTTGCCTACGGAGAACGCAGCCATTCGAACTTATCTTCGTAACTTAAATTTAGGCCCTTTTTGTCGTAAACATTTGAAGCGCTTCGGCGGTGCGGGCGCACGAAATTCGACTCATTTCAACTCACCAACACGCGAAATTCAACCCAGTGCAACCAATCAACACAAACGCGCTCGAGTTCGTAACATTAATGCCTGAATACGAACGAATCAACGAATGATATAATTTGTACAATTTGCTTCTTTTGAATTCAAATTAATTGAGATTTGAATTTAAATTGCTTTGCAATTTTTTACAGGCACTAAATTACAGGACAGTTGAATTGTAGCTTCAGAAATAACGTTGATATTCGTTGTAGGATTTTGCGTGCGTTGGTGAGTTTGGTGCCGTGGAGTAGGTGAAGTGAAGGAGCAACATCGCAGCCCACAACAGCAGATCGAGGTGATGGTGCACGCCAGAAGCATGACCTTCACAGCCACGTGTTGTCCATTCTGTTCGATCCAATCACTTCGCTTAAAAAGTCGCTCGAAAGTTCGCACGGGATCTGGGGATATGAACAGCGTTAAGGCGAGTTCAGGGCACGTAATGAGAAAAATTGACGGTATTCGTGAGAGGAGATAGTTGGTATTTTCTATACTATTGAAGATGATTGGATGAAAATAAATCATAACCGTAATGACTATTTTCCCTACAACAATGTTATGAATGAACAAGCTTATCAATTGTCGTTGCTTCGAAAGGTATATTAATATTAAATCACATTCGAAGTCTGAAAAGCAAAAAAATTAGCATACACGATGTTATTGTGCACATAAACTGCAGCAGCCAACCGCAGTGATCTGTGTCAGCGGCAATTCCTATTGAGGGGAAACAAATATAGACAATTATAGATGAGGACACTTAAGAGATAAATTACTCGACAAATATACTTGAGGGGAGATATCTCACGTTTATAGACGGCACGAGGTCCTCAGAGTCCATGGATTCGAGGTCATTTGCTTCCATCATGGGAGGGGCGGGCGAGTTGACCACACCTGCAACACGGGCTACGATCAGGAGCAGAGAGAGGACCACAGTTAGTACCACACCAGGGACAGGAAACCACCACACAAACACCACAGTATTAACACCAGACTACACAAATACCGAACGTTAATTTCAAACAAACTGACGATACTTGTGAATCAATCATAAATAAGAGACGTACGGGAGTAAATTACTTCGCCCTTAGATGAGTACTACCGTAAACTTGAAAATTACGTTTTCTTTTCATACTTGGAATCATTTTCCATCGATATTTAGCCATTGGTTACGATCACTGGCGACGTGCAAAGGCAGAAATTACCCAGATTAATTGAAAAAAAAAACGAAACGTATAGATTACTTCCCGCGTGTTAACGAAGCGGGGAAAAATCGAGAAACATCAGCTCAAGTCTAAGGCAAACTCTCACTACAGCGATCACTTAATACTTTACTCACAATCAAATTTCTCAATTCTCGGATAACTTAATGAAGAATGGAAATTAAAGAGAACCATTAACGAAGGGAATACCACGAAGCAGGTTATCTTATATAATCAAAAAATATTTTCGCCTTAATGATACTTTCTTGGCAGCGTCCTTGAATACAAGTTCGCGATGAACCATACTTAATATAGCTGTAAAAATTTACAAAAGATTCCGTCAAGAATTGTAAAATTTTCGAAATAAGAACAGGAGGCCGATCAAATGTTATGATTAAGAAGCAAGAACACCGAGGCAGAACAGGGATTTTAGTATAAAAAATTGGAGAAAATTTTAACAAAATGTTGGACATTATGGAGATTAGATACGACTAAAAATGCTTCAAGTCCTTCGTCCCTTCATCGTTTATTGTTAGCCTTATTAGGGTCACTGGAACACACTAACTCGGCTAGACTGTTCGTACGGCCAATAATTACACGTAATGATGAATAAAAGTACCTATAGCTGAAAATAATAATTAACAATTACCAATTGTAAAATTAAATTTGAATTTTTCATTTGAATCCATCCATATTCTTCAATTAAGAAAAAAATTTCAGGTCGAGGTAGTATCCCGACCCCATAAGTTTACTCGATAGGCACCCTATATATACAGTGGGGGGAAATAAATATTCGTACACTTGAAAAATCGTATTTTAATGTATGTAAGTACACAAACTGAACAGGAGAAGTGATTTATATTATGTATAGAGGCGCATTGTATTCAAAAATAGCATCAATAGAAATTAAATCTCAATGCAACAAAAATTAATGCAACATGTTAACTTCTTCGGGTCAAAAAAGTATTCGTACAAAAAAAGTATTAAATTAAAATAATGCGGATTTATTGTTTTGTACGAATACTTTTTTCACCCGAAAAGTGAACATGTTGCATTGTTCTTTGTTGCATTGAGATTTAATTTCTTTTGATAGTATTTTTGAATACTATGCGTCTCTATACATAATTTAAATCACTTTTTCTGTTAGGTTTGTGTACTTACATACATTAAAATACGATTTCTCAAGTGTACGAATAGGTATTTATTTCCCCCCACTGTATATACATGTATTACAGGTGCCAGGCTTAGAACACACAAGCTCTAGTCTAACTAGTACAGCCAGCGCGACGCGTTTAGTACACTAGGAGTCTAGGACGTACCTCTCCTGTTCTCAGAAGGCGTGATCTCGACGTCCTCCATGGCTGCAAGGAAGTCCTCAGGTGTAGTGGGCGTCTGGTGGGGCGTGTAGGAGTGGGCAGAGCCCGGTGTGCTGCCGTTATGGGCACCGCCGTTACCGCCCAGCCCCAGCCCACTGTCAGCAGACTCCTGACGAGCGTGTAAATCAGCGGGCGGTAAAGTCGAGAGAAGGAACGGGTCGCCGCCACCAACTGCTGCACGTAACATCTGCTGCTGCAGCTGCTCCTGTTGCTGCTGTAACTGTTGCTGTTGTTGTTGTTGTGCCTGTTGGTTGCTCATCTGTTGTTGTTGTAGTTGGTTATGAGTGAGTTGTTGCTGCAGCTGCAGCAGCGTCGTTGAGTTAGTGGTGTTGAGGACGTTATTGTTATTGATGGCGTTGTTAATGGAAGTGGACACGAGGGTGGAGGGAGCTTGATTCACCTGATGAGTGAGCCACAAGCAAAAAATAAATCAAATGCAACACAAGAACCAATAAGCAACATAGATCAATAAATGGTAGTGCAAAAATAAGAAGAGAAACAAAATTCAGGATTGTTCATCAATGGATTTTTCAACTATGATTTATTACATGATATGAGATTTAGAACTTGGGTGTATGAGACAAAATGTAGTACAATACATGAGGATTTATGACAGAAGTAATTGTATTCGATTCAGAATGCAGTTCAAGTGAGGTTAGATAATGCAGCGCCACTCGTCTGAGCAATCGCTCATGTACTGGTTAATCGGGTCAAAGGTATTATTGAAAGTATAGTGAAAGAATTGTAATGATCGAAAAGAATAATTCACAAACATAAAAATTAAAACTACAAAGACAGCATGGATATTGCTTAAATATTTGGGGGCAAATTCAGAACGATTCCTTGTAAAGAAGAGCAACTCAATACACAGGAATGAGCAAACATAAACACGATACATTGAAAAAAGTAATAAAAAATGCGAAAAGTAAGCGAAACGACTTAGTGGGAGGAAAAGGCATAGAAATCGTAACAAGATGCATCTAGATAATTTTCTCTCAAAGCAAAGTTAAAGTTAATGATCTAATGGCGATATGAGGCGGTTTCAAATGATGGGTCCGTTGTTCTTGTACTGTTGGGTTTTGACGATGTATATTTAATATATATAAACACAGTTGTAAATATTCAGTTTACCAGCGCGCTCAGGACATAGAGTTGTCGATGTTTAAATGAAGGTTGCGGTGTAATCACGTGTTGTTTGTGCACGCAATTGTTTATGATGGAAGCTGTGCGGACCCAACCAACCAAAAAGCGTACTTAAAACTGACAATTTCTGTTCCGATTAACTTCAATTTTTAGTCAATTGAGATGTGATGGAAAATGAGCCTACACGTCTGGCATGAGCGGCAAGCCTGCAGGCCCGCGTGAGGCTGCAACTGACATAACGCAACACTAGTAGACATTTTATTAATTGCTCAATTACTGAGAGATACAATACAATCTCTCAATTACTGAGAGATACAATGCCTCATTCTGATTAATGTACTTAACTATAATTATCAATTCAATTATTGCAATTAATTCTTAATTTACATGTACTAGCTATAATTACCGAACTACAACTACACAAGGTTCATTATAATAAGACAAGAATATATTCACGGTGACTGAGCATACATCACGAACAACACCTGTTGCAGGTGCGAAGTAAACGTGCATTAGATAGCAAATGTACTCAATTAAAATCAATCAAGTGAATCAAGTTATGTTCTCAATAATAATCAATCACATATTTCTTCGTACTGGCTTCATGCACAATGACAATAAACAGAATTTATACCGAAAAGCATTTACGAAGATACAACAAAAGGGAAAACAACGAAGACTACGGCGACATAATATAACGAAACTTTTTCAGTCATCATCAAAAATGGAAACACATTCATGTTTTTCCAACTGGCGACCGTAGATATTCGACAGTCAGAAGGTAAGAAGTGCAACAGAAAGCGGGTGATCAAATCAAAATCAAGGAGAATGTCCGAACCTAAATTATTAAACTTAAAATATGATCTAAATTTGGTGATAAAATCTAAAAACAACGCGGCACTGGAATTTTAAAAGGAAAACATGGGATCTGGCGAGTGTTTCTTTCAATAACCACTGTTAACTCGGAAGGATTTCTGTCCGTTCTTCAAAGGAGCTTATCGGACTCCTGAATGGTCTAATTAAATTATTTATTATATTTGATGTTATTTTCTAATCGGGTGCGCAGGGCGATATGACATAACCAAAATAAGAATATTTACATTTAATTAATAGCAAGATTTTAAATTGGCTACCGGGCCAGAGCTTCAGAGATTTGATGCCAAACAAAACACGACGAAACAGAAGCGACAACGCGGCACACACGCGATATACAGGGGACACAGAAGCATTCAGGGGACACCAAAGGCAAAGCATACAGGGGGCACCAAAGCATACAGGGGACACAGAAGCATACAGGGAACACAAAAGCATACAGAGAACACAAAAGCATACAGGGAACACAAAAGCATACAGGGGACACAGCACAGAAGCATACAAGGGGCACAGAAGCATACAGGGGACACAGAAGCATACAAGGGACACAGAAGCATACAGGGGACACAGAAGCATACAGGGGACACAGAAGCATACAGGGGACACAGAAGCATACAAGGGACGAAGAAGCATACAAGGGACGAAGAAGCATACAAGGGACGAAGAAGCATATACAAAATCACTAAGTAAACAAGTATGCAGGGGGACACAGATTTGCCTGTACGCTGTATACAGGAATTCAATCTTCAGAGTGAAGAATGGCGGGCGAAAAACATGCAAATGCACGAAGACAAACAAGAAGCATTTAGTCTCGACTTATACAGGGCACGTACATGTACCGCACGTCGTGTCTATACATGAATACAAGTCCACACAATACACACGTGCATGGCGACACACAAAACATGCGTAGTTGGTCGCTGTGCAGAACAAACGGTTACGTATACAGCGCACGCTTGAATATACAGCTGTATGCAGAATACGCAGCGGCGTAAAAAAGTAAAACAAACGGCTACGTATAGAGAACACGCTTGAATATACAGCTGTATACAGAATATGCAGTGACAGTGATATACAGCTGTATAAAGAGCAGAACAAACGGCTACGTATAGAGAACACGCTTGAATATACAGCTGTATACAGAATATGCAGTGATATACAGAATATACAGCTGTATAAAAAGCAGAATAAACGGCTACGTATAGAGCACACGCTTGCATATGCAGCGGTATACAGAATATACAGCGGAGTACAAAAGCAGGCATAAGACGCGACTACTTGCCCATATAACGTCTTCGTGGCGTCTGAGATGCCGTAACTGCAACAGCGCAGCCACATCACCAACCAGTGAGAAGCACAGTTAGTGAGAGAGAACACAAACACACACCAACGCTTATACAACGCAACCTCACCAACCAACAATACCTGTATATTCTTATGACAAATTCTCCACAGATACACCCTGAGAACACAAGTAGATCCTCGAACAATAAAATATTTTTTTTTTATGGGAATGGAGTTCCCGATGAAGCAAATATAAGTAATTTTATATAAATTCCCCCCAAAAAACTATTAACTGAAGTTATGCTTAAAATTCCAGACGACACTGAAGTTGAGCGGATAATAAAGCTACTTATCCAGTTCAGAAACATCGAGCTCACAATATAACTAAGCTGATAAATCCTGTCGGCGCTTAGCAAAGTTAAGTCTCAGACTATCTACGCGACAGATGTCGAGCGGATAAAAAATCTACTTATTCAGTTCAGTAATAACGAGCTCACAATATAGCTAAGCTGATTACGCGACATCTGGACACAAAAAAAAAAAAACACAACTCTTCAAACAATTCACCCACGAAAATATCTTCTCATTCTATTAAATTCTCAGTCGCAAATTCTCTTCCATTCTCTTCTAAATGGCCAAATTGAGACCGGTTGTAAACACCTCAACGTACTCATTTGCACCCCAAATTAATAATCAGATGAAAAATGTATCACCAATCTTCGAAAGTTATTATTAATCTTACTAATGAGAGTAATATATTATAATAATTACAGATGAGGGCGGTAAAGACACATACCTTCTTCCTGGCGTCGGGGGAGTTTGGTCGATTCTTGAGTCTGTTGTTATCGAGGGGGAGGCGGGGGAGGTGCTGCGTGGAGGGGGACCGGGGACCCATCATACCCCCCACCAACTGCTGCAACTGCACACAGTTCACCTCAAATAACACCATAATACCAATAATATTGGTACGATATCACTTATAATGGAGGTGCCGGGAATAGAAATGTTATATTAAAAATATATCATGTTGACTATGGGAATACGGTAACGATTTTGTGGTGAAATAATGATACAATGACTAGGAAGACTAGGAAGTCCCGAACTCATCATAAGATCAATGTTTTAACACTGCTTTAGATGACCGTGTTAGGATGATAACGAGGTAACCTTGCATGTGAGGCGTTCGAGGGATGAAACCAAGGTCACATTAGAAATGAAGATGTTTATATATTGATCAGAACAACAAGCAATAATTTGTCACCTGAGAGTTGGGGGAGGCAATGGGGCTGTGCTGATGCGCTAGCGGCGTCTTCTGCAGCTGCGCCGTCTGGTATCGTCGCGCTGCCCACAAAAATTAACAATTACTTACACATTTCAAACACAAAAGTGAATAACAAAACGCACGGCAAGGAATAGTTAGAGAAGAGAAGTAAACGTGCGTTATCGATAGGACAACAATAATACAGATAATCGCAAACAAAGAGTAACGCGTAAAATGCAAGCTCAGCCATATAATTGTCAGAAGGATTCACCGTCCTGGCGCTGTAAGCGTAAAGCCGTACACTCCAACAGCTTTATTTTAACTCACACTCTTCATGGTCATTCAAATCCCAACTAATACATTAAAGTTAGAAGTAAGTTTATTATGTGTTAAGAATGAAAGGGTCGCCGTGATGCAGCAGAATTGAGCCACTAGCTGCCTCCAGAAATGGTGTGTTGATGATGATGGAGAGCAGCGAAAGAACATGCGGGTTCTCGTTGCCCGTAGTCGACCAGCAATAAACTTAATGTGATAATTGAAAGGCGGAGAGTGAGAGTGGTTCATCTGCCAAAGATGACCAACGAAGACGGACATAATTTTAGGCTGACAACAACACGAACAGAAATGAGCATCATTCTGAATGGAGTGATGATGAATATATCGTGAACAGTGCAGAGGAGAATGAGGCAGGAATAGCCGGAACAAGAAAAAGTAACACATGAGCAACATTATTTTCAGAACAAACTTGACCTGCTACGAACTGAAGACGTAACGCAAGTAAGTATAAATAGCACTGCCCAAGTAATACCATCCCTACTAGTGTGCAGCTGTATATTAGCAGCGGTACTACGAGCGGTCAGGCTCGAGGGCAACTGGTCGAGTAAAGTAATAACCTTCTCAACTCAACGAAGAGGAAAAGTGGTACTACATAAGACACAAACGGAAATTGAAGATAGGACTCCTGTTGATGTAAACGATCGTTTAATTTGTAAAAAAGGACAGCATGTCTTGTAAAGTAGAGAAGTGATGTACCAAACAAAAAGGTCACATGCCAAAGTGCTGAGGAGCAGGACGCCATGAGCACCAGGATGCTGAGGGCAGCGGCGCGGCGCCAGCAGAAATGCCAGACGCGCGCCTGGCGGCGGGTGCGCGATAGGCGCTCACGTCATCACACAAGTCAGTCCGTATCAAAATACTACAAGCTCCGGCCGGGGAACACATATCTAAGAGTTTCGCGTCTGTTGTACGTAGTATATGCATTTAAAATTTATTTTCTAATTACGTCATTATTGTTTGTACGCTTTTCGTTAGTCTCGTATTAGGATCGAGGCATAGTCGACGCTCATAAGGTCGATCGTAATTATTATTACCTTAACCTTGCGTCTGTGCTGACCTCATTTTGAAACCGTGTTAACAATGCTACTACCCTCGGGAAAATAATCTTGCCTTTCTTTAAGTTGATCTAAGCTTGTGCGAATGTGTTTTCATTTTGTTTTGTCCAATTAAATTGCATGTTCTCGCTTCTGTGCTCGTTCGTTTAGGTCTTGAATATACTGGATCCTCGCCAGTGATTGAACCCCGCGGGGTTGGTGCAGCTCCATGGAGCTTCTGTGCTTAAATCAACTTAATTTCTAGACTTAGAGCTTACCTGTAACTTCGCATGCTTGCATGCCCTCATTTGACACCTGTAGGTACGAACGAACACACCATGTACTATTTTCACTTATTTCCTTCTTATAGTTTTCAATGAGAAGGCTTGTCGAGGGTTCCTCAACGGAAACAAATAGCTTAGTTATTTTGACAATTTCGCAAGCGTTATTATTGTTCGGATTTTATTTGAGCATCATACTGAAATCTAATGCGTTACACCTTGAATTAGGTTTTAATAAGTTTTTAAGTGTTTGTCTGTCCTATACAGATGAGAATCCACCCAACCATCTCCACTAAACAGTGACTCGTTCCTTTGAATTTAAATATTGTTATCCGTAACTCCTAATTTTCGAACCAATGCCGATATCTGTGTATTCTAAAACGGTGGGTTACACATCACGCTTATCGTTTTCCACTGGCTTCTTTCTGCGAACCACTTCAATAAAGTTTTAACGGCTTCATGGTTTTTTAATTTCCAGTTGTTTCAAAATTCAATAGTGCGGTCGGATGTACGGAGATATGACAGTTTGGCTGTATGGAAAATGTGCCGTATCGGCTGTACGGAGAATGTTAATTTAGCGTTAGACGTACTGAGAATATGCCGGGCCGGCAGTACGGACAATAAAGCAAGTTTGCCGCTCGGATTGCTATATCTTCGGTACGGATTCCGGTGCTTTCAGTACGAAGCACGAGCAGCTATGGTAATGCCTTTTATTAAGGATGCGTCTTCTTCGGCAGGGCTAGAAAATTTACTTCAACGGCTTGGATCCATCGTTATGAATCACACATTGCAAAACTAGAGAATATCGATGCATATTAATGAAACCATATCTTAATATAAATTACATCTCTTACTTCAGGAATTATTGTTAAAACATGATTATTAGAGAGATGCCAGTTGCACACAAGTAGAAGATACTGAGCCGTTGGGGCACGACATTGCGCGCTAATTGACAAGCTAAATACTTGAGCTGGACAGATCGCATTGAGAGGGCCAATGAATACAACAAATTGAGAATGAAAAAGTTCGACCAGGTGGTTGAGACGAGGCATGGTCACGGCTCAGTGCCCTCAGCTATGCCCGGCATGTCAGGAGCCATCAACACCAGATCTGCGTCACCTTTGTCATCATTCAACCATAAACTACAGCAAAATCAACACTCTTTAAACTCAAGCCCATTTACAACCACCACTCATCGAAAACTGCCTCAATCACTAAACAATCACAATAACAACATTAACCTAAAAATAAACGCGCTCAACATGAAGTAAACTTGGTTGTCGCACAAAAACAGGGGCGCAAGAAAGCGGAGTCAGGCTTGCCAGTTACTTATAATTCCAGGGTGGGCAGCGATTGGTCGTAATATATTTATATAGAGGTAATAGTTATATATTATATATAGTTAGCACATGAGAATAAAGCTACCGTGTAACTAGCAGGGACCAGCTGCATGTAGAAATGAATGTCGCGAGTACTCAATGAAGCCTAAAGGAAGGGGAGAAAACCTCCATAAGAGAATGAAGTGACACTTCCAGCTAAGTGTAGAAGTGGTAGCACAAAACAATGATTGAAGTAGCACGAGTAAAAATGTGTAGAGCACGATTGAAAGACAGCAATGACGCCGCGGGATGAAAATGAAAGGTGGATGAAAAAAAAGTAAGTGGTATAAATATAAAAATTAAAAGACGGTTTATTTGGACGCTCAAAATGTTTGGACGAGGAAAGAGAGACGCAAGAAAAGCACGGAGAAGAGAAAACGATACGAACAAGTTAAAGAAAGATTACGAACAATCGCAAATGAAGAAGCAACTGTATGAAGAAGCAACTGTATGAAGAAGCAACTGTCAAGTGAGGAAAGCATATACAAGTTTCAATTTAATATATGCTGTGCGTATATAATCTTCCAATTCTTTCTATGACATCCAAACATGACCCTTGCCAAACAAGCTCTACAATAAGATACAGGATAGGAACAAGTTGAGACCATCCCAACGATGAGCGCCCAAGAAATAAGTTGTGTGCGTCAGTGTAATGAGTACTCGGCATTATCAGGAATAAATTCTTTAGAAGAGAAGCAATCATGGGAGTCAAGACGTAGTAATAAATTGCAACGCTTGGGCGTTATTGTCGGAGCGACTTCAGGGCGCCGCATAGAAAGATAGAAGGGTGAGTGAGGCCTGAGGGCGTCACTGTCGTTGACCTCTCATAAGCCGAGAACTGACACTCCCATGCAAGTAACCTTACATACAACAGGTCTTCCTAAACAACCGATCGAAAGTATAAAAACCGACGTGAGAATAAACTCTTATGAAATGACGCAAATACTAACTATGCCATCGAAAAGAGAACACGTATACAACACTAATGCTAAAAAATACTACTTGCACATAAAACTATAAAACTAGCACCGCAAGGGAGTTGGTGGTGCTGGAAATAGGCGGATTTTAAATAATTTCGATATTGAACGACAGAGCCAGGTATCGAGCATAACGATTGAAGAAGGTACACAGAGAAAATAAAGATTTGATCACTTACGACATTCGAGATAGAATGAAGAAATTAGACTCGGTAACCAAAATCACTCCAGAAATGAGAAGGGCAACAAAATTGTTTGTGGTGAGTCCAGAGAACCAAAAGTGTCTATAAACATAATTTAAATAGATATTAAGGAGGGGAAAAAATCGTTGAACAAAAAATGTTCAGGCAAAATAAATAGATAAGAAGGTGATACTCACGTATTCGGGGGTCGAACCAAGATGTGGCTTTCTCTTGGTGGTTGATGTAATAAATTTCGCCGTCAGCGGTGATGGCTTGTTCCCAGCCCTCGGGGAGAGGGCCGAGCAGATCAGTGTTCAGAAGAGGGTTGGTGAGGGCTGTGCCGTTGGTGTTGAGGGCACCTAAGTGCTGGGCAGGGTTGGGCTGGGCAGGGTTCTGGGCTGGTAGGGACGGGGTTGTTAGCTGCACTACGTTGTTCTGGGTTTGCTGGACAGCAACAGGGTTGGACTGAACGGTGGTAGGTGCTGGTTGCGGCTGTTGTTGTTGCTGCTGTTGTTGTTGGGGAGCAGGCTGTTGTTGGTTGGCGTTCGTTTGGCTGGGATTGGCTTGGACCTTCTTGCGTGGGTCGTCCCACGTTGTGGTCTGCGTGATGTGACTGCACACGAGAATAATACAAATGAGCCCAAGTTCCAGAACGAGAAAATATAAAAAAACTAAATATATTTAAAATAATTGAAGTTTATTGATAATTTGTTGAGGGCTTTTATTATATATAACTAGCCAGAAATGTAGCATTTGTGTCCTGTACAATCCAGGGAGGGGAGCACGTTTATGACGTTGAATTCAATGCCTGCGGAACGTAAATCGCCAAGTCAGGGCATCACTTGAAACATTAATAAATTAACTGCAACTCCGTCATGGGCATCAATCTACCCATCCTGTCCTAATTCAGACTCGTGTCTCATCTTTCTTGTATATCATACGCCCATTTCATCCCGCTCCTAGGTAAGTCTTATTCATTTCATCATCTCCTTTTGTTACTATGACAGATATTTTTCCGCAAGTTTCTTCCCAGTATTTTCCAGTTAAATTCCCTATTCCCATTCCCTAATCTACTCTTTCGCATTTTTTTTAATCTTATGACTTGGCTCCCATAACTTTTCGGAACCCCTTTTCGGCGTCAACAAAGGAATAATCATTTTTGAAGTATTTTCTTTTTTGTTTCTGATCCGTGAATCTGTCATCTTCATAACGAATTTAGACCATTCAATTTCAGTGAAGACGATTGTGGAATTTTCGGCATTAATATAATCTAATGTTGCTAACTGAAACAATTTTGCGTGGAAAGCTAACATTCGAATATTAAAATATTCTGCAGCTCCATCTGTAAGATGCATTGTTTCATGGTGTGAAAAAATATAGCACAGGCTTGTAACGTGACACTAAGTTCACATAGCACGGGCTTGTAACGTGACACTAAGTTCACATAGCACGGGCTTGTAACGTGACACTAAGTTCACATAGCGCGGGCTTGTAACGTGACACTAAGTTCACATAGCGCGGGCTTGTAACGTGACACAAGTTCACGTGGTAACATGAAGACAACCACATTTAGAGATGGGGAAGTAGCCCCACGGGACCACAAAAGATCCCCCAAATTTGGGGGAGCGGGCCAGGTCAGGTTACCCCCTCCCGTCACCACCCCTCCCCCCCAGCCCGTCAGAGGTCCGTGCGAGCCTAACGGTCGTCCAAGGCAAAGCTCGGATAGCCGAGGCCGCAGTGCAACGCTAATGATTGATACAACGGCAACAAAGTTTAAACATATCACTGCTTCATTATTTATTAGTTTAGTGTCTGTTAGATCATTCTTGGTTTATTAATTAGAAGAAATAACAGTGAACATAAATTAATACAACTAATTAATAATTATAAGGGAATACTTGTACTTAAAATTTAATTCAATTACAACTATTCATTCTAAAATTCAAAGCGAATCGTAAGCTTAGCGGAGCTCATTGAAAACTTGGTACAAGTAGAATATGCCTCGCGTCTCAGATAGTACGAATGAAGGTAAGTCAAGAAGCAAATTAATATGGGGCTATGCATGGGCCGATTATTATTCATAGTCCAGCACTAGTAATTTTTATTTTCTCTACGTATCCAAAGTCCCCCAAGAGTTTATTCAGTCAATCTTGATCCCATCCAGATTTGATGTAAAGCTGCAGCAAAGATTAAACCAAAATCTAAAGTATGAATGATAACGCTTTCCTATTTCATTCGTGGGAACCTCTTCATTTCAACTAAGCCATTATTCTTCATGGTTGTAGAGTCAAATCAGTGGAAGGCCGGCACATTTCGTGAAGAAGTATTGCGTTTATCTTATTCGCACATCTTATTTCGATTTGCATGGCAGAGGGCCTATAAATTTCTCTCCATAGTACGTAAATACTCTTTTTGACATAAAGTTAAAGTAAATACTACTCATGAGTCCAAGGGTGGCGAAGTGCAAGATTTGGAGAAGGAGGGGGGAGAAGGGGGGACTTGGCGAGAGTGGGGATCCGCAGACCCTCCCTCCCCTTAAAAACCACAAGAATGCGTCTGTTCAGCCTCACCAGACACGCACACACACACACATGTACGGCACAACATCTCTCAGCCGTTCCCACCGGCCAAATCAAGCTCCAGCAGAAGATATGTACGTGTGGTTGACGATTAAAATGTTCGCATGGACACCCGTTGACCTTGACTGCAATTATTCGAGCTTTATAAATAGAAATCGTTCATTAGGTTGTTTATAGCGACGACTTAATATGGATGGATTAGGTTTGGATTGCATATGTCTAATATCAAGTTCGGGACTCACAGGTCACACTGTAACAAGAACAAATAATTGTATATTTCTACTTAACAATTGCATTATTACACTAACAGATTTTAATTACAATATCCTCACTTTGCATCGTGAAATATAAATAACAATGCAAAACTCAAAAAGACGACGCTTTTTTCAGCATTAAATCATGTTGGAAATGAGCGTATAAGAGCACAAAGGGTAAATTTGTGCTGATTAGAGAGCACTAAGGCCTTGGCCAAATAACTCGCTCACGAGATGACCCCTCCGATGCACTTTTCTCCAACTATACAGCGACTCTTCTGGATTCTTAGTCTGGAACACCACCAACAATCCAGGAAGTGTCCTACTGAACCTCTCATGACCTCACTACCAATAAATGTTCTCCGGGTGATGCAATCAGTACTCGATATCTTCGAAACAATAAAGACGACCTGTACGATAGCTTCAATTTTATTCGCCGTCTTTCGAATGAATTCCCTGTCACTGATTTATTTACGTTAATACGGCGATTTTCTCAATAATTTCATCGTAAAGTCGAGACACCAAAGCCTTGTTTGCCTCTGAACCATCACCAAGTAGCTCTATCATGTCCTTATGGTGACGGCACCAAGCTGTTGAACTGGAAAAAGTAGGTGTTCGCTGCATTGCGCAACTGGTGACAAAACAAGATGCTTTAAAAAATCCTTAAAATCTACGTGAGACCAACCAAAAATGTGTAATTTCTTGCACATGCATACATACGAGTTCGTTAAGGTTCATCTGCAAAATAAATACAATAAATCAGGCGTGGAAAACCAATTTAGTTGAAATCCATCCGCGTTTGATTGATTTGCAAAATATTTTACGCAAGAAGACGATTCACAATTATGAATGTCAAATCGTTCAGGCAGATAAAATGAGCAACCCCAGGTCCAGTTCACTAAAGTGTCCCATACAAATACTGACAGTAAACTTGGAAGTGGCCTCGAACAAATCAATTGCCCTCCAATTGCGTGCTCGTCTAAAATAACAAACGGCCTGTATTTTTGAAATGAGCTACCGGTACTAGGAAGTCAGTTTTCAGTAAACGTGTCCCAAATCGTCTAGTAATCAGTTATATATTTGAAGAATATGTCGGACGGACCACACAAGCAATTCGAAAACAGAACTCCAGTAACAGGAAATAAGGAAACTCTAGGAAAAAGTATCTAAGGTATCGGAAAAGGACTCAATTTACAGCTAATCGACCGTCTCGAGTGTAGTAGCTGGATAGTTGGACGAGGGCATTCACTAGTAATTAACTGCTCGACGACAGTAGCCGCATGAAGAAGGTGGAAAAATATAGGGGACACAATCAATAAAGACAAATCAGAGGCACAAGTTTAGTAACAATAATTACAAAATAGATTGAAAAACACAAAAACCGGCCGAAACTTTGTAGCCTAAAAGTGAAAGTCTATCACCGAGCATATTGCCAAAGTGTATCATAAAGCCGAACAAAAAAGATAGCTGCCTACAAAAATCGAAGATAAACACATGACCAACTCGCGTGACCCTTGCCCCGCTCGCCCTTGATCCAGCTGCAGAGGCAGCGGGGAGCCGGACACCAGGAAAGGCCCTGGCATTGAACCCCGCAGCCACGCGGGCACCAGCACGCGGCGCTAGAGCTCAGCAGGGGCCATACTTTCAAAACTTGCTAAGTGCACGTAAGTACTTACGCTCTATTTTCTTGTCTATGGTTAGTGGATTTTGCTTGAAAGGCCGTCAATGATTGGATGATGAACTTACGATCTCTTAACTTTTTCTAAAAGTATGTGTCCATAGCGCAGATACCCTCGTATTCTTAAACTAAAATGTCATCATCTCCCTTCCATTTTGGATCTAAACTCAGAGTGGATGATAATTTGTTTTAATGATTATAATATAAATCGGTTATAATGAGACTAATGAGTATGTTCGACAGCCAAGACGAGAGCAGTAGAGGGCAATGAAAGAATTAACCGCTAAGTATGTATATATATATACACGTAAATGAGCATATCATGGTCATCGGCCAGCAGGAACGCAACTGCTCGTTTCTCTGTTCCCTAGAATTTACACTAATACCACCAGTCGTTACACAGTCGCGTCAGGATCTCAGTGCAATTTCATCTTAACCTCTTGTATTATCTGAGTGACATTTGATTCCATTTAGAATCAGGACTCCATAAAGAATCCCAGTAATCATGGTCACCAGACAAAAGTGAGGGTGGCGGATGAAACGCACCCTTGACATCTAAATCTTTTAGGTGCGATCCGGTCAAGATCATCCCAGTCAAAGGTTACATAGCTTTGAAAAAAGCGAATTCATTAGGATATTTGAAGCTTTTTCACAGAGGAGCTCTGTGCGCACCATAGACACACGGTGCCATTTTAGAGATAAAATTTCATTCTTCTAAAAAGGACAAAGAAGCAAGAGCGCTTTCAAGAAACTACGTAAACTGGACCCCAAGGCTACTCGAAGAACATTAGAAGAAACATCAGGATCAAGAAAAATAATTGCTAGACTAAGTAAAGAAGTGAAATCAAGCAATTGAGTACATATCTCATGGATAGATATGAAACAATAACGGAAGAGGCAGCAGCGATAAGTGGGATTAGAGTGTCACCAAAAAGACCAGTCTTGGCACATGCTAAATCACTCGCTAACAAGACGGGCGGGAGCGCCGAGCCGTCACTTACAGGGGTCTGGCACTGCCATTAAGTAATTATGCGAGCGGTGGCACATACAGTCACTGGTCATAGTGCCAATTAGGCTTTGGTCAAGAGTGACACTGAGAGGT